TCAGCCGCGTTCTCCCCCTCAGCCGCCCCCTCTCCCCGCAGCCATTGTGGGGTTTAGCACAGCCGGGCAGCCCCAAACCCAAGCGGGAACAGGCACGCAACACCTCCCACCCTCAGACAAGAAGGTCTCAAAGTCAACCCCAGCTTCTGGCTCAACCAGGTTTTTATTGCTGCGCTCCAAACTGAACAGTTCCGAGCATACCCCATACAAAACCAAAACCAACACAAATCCTTTCGGAAACCAAAGCGTTGCAATGCTCTCAAAACCAGCGACGGCTTCTTCATTCCTGCCGCTCAAACAGCACAGCCTCGCCTCGCACGAAGGGAAGCGCGAGCTCCTCGCTCTCCAGTTGGCATCCGGCACCTGAGTTTAATACTGTACAACTCAAAAGACCTTAGTGAACATCACAGCCGGAGTCCGTGTTAACACCGACGGCGTTAAATCACTTCCAGCTCCCCGCGTGAAGGTGAGGAGGAAACCCAGTCCATACCACCCCTTTTACTAGCAGCTTGTTGGTGTTCTCCTTCACGGGAAGTTTGTAAACATATAGATGTACACAGGAGCATTTCTGAAGTTCATTGTAAACATGACTCTGTAGCTTCTAATTTACTTATAATGTTATTACTTTTAAAGTGTTCAATACGTTATCATAAGCCTTGGTATCTAGATTCTTTAACTCATCCAGTAACTTAATAATAGATTGTTTCTCTCCCAGTGTGTTTTTCCAGGCAAGAAGCATCTGATAAGATTGTTCTTCTATGTCATTAGGAAAGTCATAAGTAATTTTAGCAATGTAATTTTCCTGCAGATGAGTTCTCATAAGCCACTTCCATTTTTTTGGTGGTACTTCATGTATAAAGGCCCAATAGCTATCTCTCAGTTCTGAAAGAAAAAACACACAACACAGATCAGCTTAGGTTTTAAAATACAGATTTTTTTTTTTATGTAGCTAACAAATGCTTTCCCATTAATTTTCAACAACTACCTGCACAAACCTGACAGCAGCAGCAAGGCCAAGTTTGGCACCGAAGAAGCAGCAGGACAAATAGGTTTCTTACTGAGTGATCTTGAAAGAAGCTAAAGGTTTCAGTCTACCTATCTCAAAAGTATTCTCTTCAGATGAGACACCATTCCGTAAAAGTTGTTTTGAGGAAGGTTTCATTGCCCTGCATGTCTTCACTTAAGCTTAATAGGCTACTCAACAGCAGGCTTTAACCACTTCACTCTGCTACTGGTATAGGTTTGCCGTGCCAAGACCAGCATGAGCAAAACCCATCACTTGGACATGCAGCACATCAGCTCGCTGGGTACAGGTAGATGTTTGGCGATTCAATGCAGTCTTCTATGTGAGCAGACATTTAACAGAAAGATCTGCTGTGACCTGCACCTCACTCCTTAAAGCAGAGTACACTGTGCAATGCAGACTTGTTTAAAGCATACAAGAAAATTTTGTACTATTCTTATTCATAAAAGCATGACTGCGCTATATTCCTTTCCAGAAAAGCCATGCTTTAAAGTATAACGATTCCCCACAGGCATTACAACTTCTATGATTCTCTCACATGTAGTAATAATCCTGTTTCAGCATATTTTACAATAAACTGAAAGCCTTATAGCTCTAAGTAATATTCATTAGCCTCCCTACACTATTCCTTAAGCAGACTAAAGTCATCAGGAAAAAAACAAATTGCAAGTACAGCCAATTTATGGAATACTAATACTTACCTTTTTGAGAGAGATCTTTAACAATTATTCTACACTTTGGTTCTTGTACCTGTAACACAAAGTTGGATGGTTACTCCAACATATCAGAGCATTTCACTCATGATGATTCCTGAGCTACTTGATAGCTTCCTTCCACAGCACACACCCCAATAAAGGGGGGGGGGGAGCAGATTTCACAGCACAGCTGAAAGTATTTGACTAAAGAAAATTGCGTGCTTAAACAGCCACCTGTCATAGCTCTGAAGTGAAGCAACAAAGCAACACATTTGCTGCTATTACAAAAGAATAGTTTCTGTGTAAATACTGAACAGGGAGATGAGGCAAAGCAGATTAAATGAGATTAAATTTTGCTTTCCCAAGACACGAATTCCCATACTTTCTATTACATCCTTAAGGCAAAGCCTCCTCTTCCCTATTTTTCTACCTGAAAACAGCATCTATCACTCAAGGAATAGTTAAGAACTCGACTGAAATTAGATGTGTATCAGAGAAAATATGATGATAATTTCACACACTCACCATACGATTTGCTGGCATCCTCCCACTTGGTACCTTAGATGGGGCATTCTGATGAAATGCAGGATTCTGCCCAGTTTTTTCTGGTAGTGAAGACTTAGCGATCCTCCTCCAGCACCTTTCCACGTGGCACCTCCAGCCCCCGCGCAGGATGGTGCCCCACTCAGAAGGCACAGCACTGTTTTCCTCTGGTGATGTGTTTTTGATTTCCAAGTGAACGTTGTTTTGCACTTGGCCCTCTGGGCTCTCAGCAGAGTTCTCATCCTCTGGGTTGGCTGTGTTATTTGCAGGTGTCTCCACTTCTGGTAAAATGAGGCTTTCAGTACTGCCTTCAGACTCCTGTAAAGAATAAGACCATATTTTAAGAGGTGTTTCATAGGTAGGCCTTCAAGGACAGTCTGGAGGAAGAAAACAGAACACCTGAAGTGACCAGATGTCAGAGAAATAATAGGAGAGCTGCTAATTTAGCAAAGTTACAAACATGCAAAAGTTACAGCCTTTACAGACTTGAACTTCAAATGGTTTCAGAGGCTTCTCTGGCTGTTCTGCTCCCACTGGACTGCGGGTAAGGCTCACAGGCTTCCTCCACAACAAACACAGGAAACTTTTCCTAATGTTTTCACTGTCCCATGTTGCTGCTTGCTCCTCTCTAGGTACAGAGGGCAGGCACCTTCCTGAGACAGGAGACAATTAAATTGCCTTGCTACACCTGAGTTGACTTAACAGCAACAGGGGCCTCAAGCCTATGGCATCAAGGCTGATGCTCTCAGAACTTTTGCCAAGCTGGTAATAGTTCATCAGCTCTGGGTAAGCACACTAGCTGGGGCTTTTTTTGACTGGATTAGTTTTGGCAGATTCACAAACCAGAACTGGTTGAAAGAAGCCAGTGAGCACCAGTGCACATTGCATAGCTTTTGTGAGGGGACAAAGAGGAAGCAAGTGAGGAGGGCTGCATTGTTCTTAGCATTGTCAACATGTTAGACAAGCACATGCCAGGGGAGTGTAGCTCCAACTTATCCAGAACAGTACAAGCACACAGCAGACCAGGATCTGTCTAGCATATCAGCTAGCACTAAAACTGGAAATTTGGGAATTTTTGTTTTTTAAAAGATGGAAAATGAAGGTGAGAAGTGACTGTTTTTCCTCAATGAAACTTGTGTTTGTTAAGGTACAATTCCCCCATGAGCATCAGCCAGTGTGATTTTTGTTTGCACAGGGTCAGTGACCCACATGTAACACCACCATGTGACCAACATGCGTAAGCAGGGATGTGAGGGGAACCACCCCATGCATCACACATGTAGTTGTACATCATCCTCATTGAATCCACTTTCTGTTTAAGGGTGCAAACAGGTTAAACAAGTCGATCCTATTTATACAGAATAGTTCTTAAATCAGGAACTGAGTGACTGAAGGCACACAGCATGGCTGACTAATAGCTGCTGCTCTATTTTGGAATGAAATAAAGTTATTAGCAGGTTCGGGTTGTTTGTTTGATTCTGTAGTATAAATTTACTGGTACTTTGGAAAGGACAGTGTGTTGGTGCCACAACCTGATCTTAGGACTGCATCAGTGTAACTCCCCTTAGCAAATAAGCTTTTGCTTAGAGCAGCATGAACACCTCAAACGCCCAGACATTTCAACTCAAGTCTGACAACTCTCATGTCAGAGATAAGTGTCGCCATGCACCGATTTGTGATTGCATTATTCTACCATCATTTTATTCAAAATAAAGAGATGCTGTATTTGCCTATTCCTATGCTACAGTATTGTGACCAGCTTTTCTGTTTCTGTCATGTTTCTTCATCAGCTTCTACGAATACACGAAGTGCTGCCAATCTGGCCAGGACGCTGGGGGAGACACAACCCAACAAAAACCCATGGGTGATTCACATATTTGAGCCACTTATGGACCTTAAAAAAAGAGAAGAGTTTAAGGTAATGTTTTTGAAGAGATCTTTCAATACTGTTTCTTCAGACTTGAAGTATTTGTGACATAATTAAGATGCATTTAATTACTTGAAATGTCTATCTAGTAAGATTAGACAAGAGCTCACGCACTGGGCGAGTAGTGTGTGCACTGTGTGGGGAAAAAGAAAGGCAGCAAGGAAAAGAAGGTGCTGTACATGTGCTACAAGAGGAACCAGGATGCTTTTCTTAGAAACTCATCAAGACAAACATTTGTTTTACAGTTTGGTGTTATGCATCATTAACTAGACTAGTGAAGGTTGAGTTCATTTTTGCTTTGTCACGATGTTAGGAGTGTAGCTTCCAAATAGAGAAGCTAAAGCTAGACTAGCTACATACAAGCTAATCTTGTATTTATCTTGCAAAATGCTAGACAAGTAATAATCTTTTTAGACCGAAACAGTAAGGTTCTCGAGTGTTTGACTACAGGAGGGCAGGGTGAACCTAGCTTTAAAGTCAAACACATGCCAGCAGCCAGCCTTAGCTTGGTAAACCCTTTTCAGGGAGGTACTTATGGTATGCTCTGCACCCTGGGCCCCCTCTCTTACAGGGCTGTCTAGGACCAATAAGTTAGACTGACAGGTCCTGGCCTTCAGCTTGTGGCATGAGCCCGAAGGCAGGAAGACTCTGTCACTTCGCTGGAACAAGAGAAGTAAATCTTATGAACAAATAATGTTGTAGTCAAAATGCAAGGAAATCTAGAACACCTCCACACAGGGAAGCAATAGCTGACATTGCCTGGGGACTACAGGCATGAAGGGGCAAAGAACCAATTGCACCAAGGCATCACTTGGAGACAGTTTCCAGTGAAAGCTTCCACTTAGCCTCATTTTCTTCCACTCTGAAAACATCCTGGCCACAGGCTCTGGAATGTTTCCAGGGGAAGTACTGGAAAGGCCAACTGCAGTGGACACATGCAGCTAACGAATGCATCAGACCCTTGCTAACAGCTGGCCCTGTATGAATCACAACTTGTTGCATCACAGGAACACACCCTACCAGAGGTCTACACTAAAATGGAGAGCTGCCTATCAGGTACAATTAGGCAGCACACAATTAAACTGCACAAAACTGAGATAAAACACTTGATCCATCATATACTCACCAGACCTTTCTCTGGATCTTTATCAGTTGAAGCAGCTGGAAAAGAAGATAAATGTCTAAGAAAGTTTTAGAAATTGCAACAACATAAACATAGCTGAATTAATACAAGATTTATATGCAGTAGACAGTTGTAACACAAACCAAAGCTCCAATACAAGCCATGTGGTTTCCTTGACCAGCTGCAAGTTTCATGAGAGTACTACCCTTAGCTCCCACCAACAGCACAAAAACTGTGTCATCATACAGGGGAGGAAGAGTCCCACTTAATAGAATACAGACTGCAAGATGCAGTTTGGCTTTTAAGCCACTCTTTCAACCTCCCCCTCACCAGCTTATGCTTCTTAGCATTTTTGTGGGCTATTGCAGCAGAAAAGAGAAAGCAGAAATTGTCTTTACTGCAATACAATCAGTAAGACATGATTTGAACAAAGTTAGCATTCAAAACTCAGAATAATTTTCAATGTTATTCTAACTAAACTAGTTGCAAAACCACTTTAATATGCAGTAGTGGAAAGAAAAGTTTCTCAGGAAAACATCTCAATTTCCACTAAAAAAAAAAAAAAGATTAGTTCAGACAGGACTTATCAACTTAAGATTCATGTTATGAGGCTCAAATGATGAAAGTGCAACAATTCATAGGAAAAAAAAATCTCCACAGCCAAACCCAGTGAATTAAAGTTAGCTAACGATCTGATTAGCTGCTGCTTCTTGCCCTGTACATCTGAGCTCACACAGATTTTTCTCACTCTGCCAATATGATGCAAGTAGATAGGAAAAGTCCTTTTAAGGACCTTAAGCTAATCTTGCTTTGAAGCAAAGGCATATGTCAGCAAAGTAGGAATCTCATAGTTAAACTTTATGCATTTTACTTACTGAACAAAACTAGTCTCCATTATACAGGAGTTACTTAATTGAATCACATACTAAATGAGCTAGAGCTTAAACAGGTCCCCTGTAAGGTAACACGAAAACCAGGGATAACCTTAGTGAATGCTTTGCCTAGTTCTGGAAAGCTTATGGATAGTAATCAAGCAGTTACCTTTATCACTCTTCAGCTTTTTAATTACAAAGAACAGCAACAAACATCCACCAACCACCAAAATAATCACAATAGTATAAACAAAAGCTGTGCTTCCTGCAAAGGAAAAAGGAGTAAGATTAGTACAGAAGCACTGGAGCAGCCCCCAGACAAGGTATTCTGAAACACAAGTCTTCCCTGCTGTCCTAGAGAACAACCCAAGCTCGGCACTAGTACCATGACCCAGCTAGGTTGTCCTGGAAAAGGCACTGGGACTATCTCAGCTGACCTGGGCATGCAACTACTCGTGCACACTGCACATCATTATCCCAAAGGCAGCGGGGGATTCCCTGCAGAGCTGCAAAACAGCTTCTGCAAGCCTTTCTGAGGGGACATTTAAAAAAGGGGGGAAAACAAGAATGCAAAAGGTGACAGCGAGCTTCAGGTGCTGCAGTGTTGGTAGCATCAGTTCCTTCTTTCTCTAGTCTGGCAGAAGCTCTCTCAGCAGAGGAGAAACTCCCTCCACAGGCAGCGTCTCTGACACAGAAAACATGAAAAATCTTTGCACTACCTGTAACTTTTAACTGTCACTTGCAACTTTGAAAACCCTGGCAATACGTGTAGCTTTTCACGTAGTGGAATTTAAGATTGTTTGCCACTCCAACCCCTTTGAGAACTTGTCTTTAGCAAGTAATTCCCACACCAGAATACAGAAGTTGTTAAACACGTAACAGTAGTTCAAACCACTGTTTTACAGACTGCTCCGGTGTTATTAGCCTGAAGCCACAGACCCAACAGACCGCCAAGTGGTATTTGAGTACCAGACCTTGATTGGGTAAGCCACATCCTAGGTCTATAGTAGCATTGCAATTCTGCACAATTTCTTTCCCTTCCGGACACCTGAAGTAGATGACAACACAAGGTTGTGTCACCATTTCCAGAGCAATATGTAGCTCTGCCCAGGCCTGATTTTTTTTTCCAGGCAGAGCTTAGAGACATGAACAGAACACACATAAAACAGATAACTGTGTTAGGAGTGCACCTTTAAACAACTTCAGATAATACTACAAGATTAAATAGAAACAAAGCAGAGAAAGCTCATGTATGTTAGCCTCTAAGTGGCTGGGGAAAAAAAAAAAACCCAACCTACAGAGTAAATGCATTATTCACACACAGGTGGTTTCCTTCAACAGGTGGTTCTACCTCCCAAAATTTTGGACTGGCAGTTACAAAGCTCATTCAGGTGTGTACATGGGCAAGTACTAATCCAAAGACATGAAAAGTGTAAGTTTACAGCCATGAGCAACAAGCACAACAATACCAAAATCTATATCTTTCTATATCTCAACCTCACATGTTTTGACTCCTAAAATTTAAACACATGAATAATGCCATTTGGCTTCAGGGCAATTATTTACAGCCTAACAACATATGTTAGGTATTGGCACAGCTTGGGCCACAGCTCTAACGTTCTCTAGAAGGAAAACAGACACTTATAGTCATTATCAAACTTACATTGTACTGCATCTCTGACATACTTCACAGCCCTCCGCAGGGCAGAAATACCCCTGTTTGCATTGGCATTCAGTATCATGCGTCAGAGTACAGGGTCTCAGAGTTATCTGATCTAAAAATAAAATATAAGTTACAAAGTCAATATAAAAGTTGGGACTCTATAACTTGTGCAAAAGTTATAAATAAATAAATCACCTTTATGGCCTCATTACAAGCTCAACATTCTCAATGACTGGAAGAGCAAAAAAACAGAGGACCAGGTCATATTAAAAAAAAAGGGGAAAAGGGTTAATGTTTCATCAGAATTGTGCTTGGTACCATCTTTGCACTGTCTGCACGACAAACATTCTTCCAGGCCGTTCTCATGGGCAGTATAACCCTCTCCTTCAGTGCAAGGGTCACATCTTCCTTTCGAATGCGGAGCGCTGCAGTGCTGAGCAACGTAAGTCCCTGTGGAAGAGGAGAAACGGCAGCAGTCTCGAGGGATCATTTAACAGGCAGGAGACTACAACAGGATGTCACAACACAAAGCCATTTTTGGTGAAAGTTCAACCCCTCCTCACAAGTGAACGCTGCGCCGTGTGAGCCGAGCAGCACAGCAGGGTCAGGAGACACATTCACAGCTTGCTGCTCAGACAGGGAGCGGTGGCAAACAAGTCATCCAGCCAGGCTTCTGCTGGGACAACGCCAGGGACGAGGATGACTCACTGGAGCAGCTCAGAGTCACCCATGTGGCCAGCGCCATCTCCTCTGAAGGAGCATGGTGGGCACAGAGAGAATTGCTTCCAACAACCTCTCTTCTCCTTCATCTGAATTATCTTTAAATACACCCGACAGCCCACCAGTACTAAGGGCAGGGTGCTTCTTGGCACAACGCTTGTTAACTCTGCACACATTGAGCAAGGAGGGGAGAGCAAAGGCAAACCAAGGTTTTACCTACAGATACAGAAATATCAGAATTCCCCTAGACCTGCTCTTTGTGCTAAAGGTTTGCTTTTTATTTTAATTATAAAAATAAAAAAAAGCCACCCGACTTTGAACACTTCATCCTCAAACAGCGAGCAGAGATTTCCTGTCTTGCTGCCAAGGCACCTCTCCTGGTCATCACCTATTGTGCAAGGGGCTCTCACTTCAAAATGGAGCCCAGCCTTCACAGCACCTAGAAGCTACCACAGCTCCAACTGCCCTGACACTTTCACCAGGTGCAATGAAAGAAACAACAGCGACACAGTCATCTCCACGGTGAAAACCCCACGGCTGTTAGCAGCTCTCGCTGCCTGAGGCCTTACCTGCTGGGCAAGACAGGCAGCAGCGATCATCGTGTAAGTATTCTCCCTCCCCACAGTCCTCTGCTCGGGTTCCAGACATGATCAGCAGCGTAACCTATAGCAGAGACAAACAGGTGTTTGATTCGCATGATAACCAGCTCGGGGAGATGGTCCTGTACAGACTTGAAAACACATTCAGAAGTTCACGGGAAGCCACAAAGGAAACCCAGACTAATTTCTGCTAAGTGCACCGCTGAGTGGTAATTACAGTCACAAAGCCGGGGTTAGAGCAGCACCCAGCAGCGGCTGGCAGGTTTCAGGCAACTATTGCCCCAGATCCTCGCTTCCACTTTAAACTTCTATTTTCTTTCTCCTAATTCACTGCAATTGAACTTCAGAGGCTGAGGTTTCCGCCTTGTGCAGGGGATTTGTTTCTCTCTCCTCCCATCTTTTTAATTCAGAAGGGTTAATGTAAGTTTTCCTCCAGCAAAATGGAGGAAACGCCCCAGAGATCCCATCCAAAATTTCTCGCTGGCTCTGTAATCTTCAGCAGAAGGCAAGTAGTTGCATCATTAACAAAAATGACTTACGATAGCCACAGGAGCACTAAGAACTTTTTTTCCCCCCCCAGAAGCCTGCGGGACGCGAACCCCGCAAGCCTCCAGCGGAGCGGGACCGGG